GGGCTGCACAGCCGCTGAACTCGTCTTCGGCACTACCTTACGTCTTCCAGGTGAAATGATAGTCGACTCTGCAACAACTGGTGAAACGGACCCTAATTCCTACGCTTCTCGTCTTCGCCAACACATGCGTGATATCCGTCCTTCACCTACTCGCCAAACTTCCAAGCCTACCCAGGTACATCCCGATCTTGCTACATGTGACTGTTTTTGTGCGCGTCGATGCGGTCAGAAAGCCCTCTTTACAACCGCTATACGAAGGACCCTTCAAAGTCATTTCTCGTAACGGCCGCAAAGACACGGTTAGCATCGATCGACTGAAAGTTGCTTACATGCACAAACGACCAACCTTTGATGATGAGCATACAACGACCCCCTTCGTTACACAACCACAGTCACACGATCCCTCCTTCGGCCAGTGACACAACCAATACCACACACACACACACCATCACTCACAAGATTTGGTCGACGTTGTAAACTTCCTCTTCGTTACATAGACTAACTGTCGTGTTTCGTAGCACTATTCCAACAACTTAAAATCAGCCGTTGGATTTAGTTTAAAAAATTGCTGAGAATAAAGCCCGGGTACAATATAGCCCAAGCAACCCTGAAGAATGAGAATGCATCAAGAATATCATTCTTGTGGGAGCAAACGACGGTATTTAATGGTTTCTTGTACGGTATCAAAAATTCACACAGGAGTTTTCTGGATTTGCAGTTGAAAACCAAGATAGCACTTTGGTCTAGAGGCCGGAAAAACAAAATGCACTTTGTCTGTAGGCTGTAGCACTTGTAAACTGCTTTTTTTCATGCTCAGTATCATCTTTTTTCCCATCATTATCAGTCACATCGCTGTACAAAAGTTTGTTTTACTGAAAAACAACCGCTACCGCCCGCTTGTTGGGTCCAACGTGACTTTGAGACTTTTGCTGAGTGACTGTTGTTGTGACCGTCGGTTGGCTATAATTGACTGTTACTGACACTAAACATGAACAAACATTTTAGCTACAAACACTTGACTAATATATTCAGACTTGTGGATTAATATTTCAATCGCCGGAGATCTGGAATACCAAGAAGATGGAACTTTTCTTGGTGTGGTGGTTCAACGGAATACGGAATCTCCTCTTTTGAACTGTGAGTCAAGATTTACTTGGATTTTTCTCTTTGTGACTTTGTATCTGGCTTACATTAGTAATTTGTTCTGTTCACTAGAGGCTCCATAGGGCCGTTAACCACTACAGATTGTAAAAGGAAAAGCATCACCACTATCTTTTAAATGAAGCACTCTAGCGGGTACTCGCCAAGGGACTCAATTCCTGTATTAGTGACGTGACAATTCTCCTTCGTAAGAATTTAAATCAACGTGATTCCCTGATATCACGGTTGTACGGTAGTGAAGCACCAGTGTTGAACACTGATATCATGCTGTCGCTGACGATGATCCCCTCATCACTTTGGACAAGTTGTAGAACTGACAGCAGCCTTGAATGACGAGCAAAGGCGAAAGAGTTCTCCGAAAATTCTCCGCACCGTGTCAGCTGACCCTGATCGAGCTATCGGATCAGGACCTTAGCACGAAGCGGGCAACCATAAAGATTGGATTTCTTCGGAAGCATTCTGATTAATCGTCTTAAACCTGTCATCTGTGCAAAGGACGATCTGAGGGTCGCTTTGTGGTCTTGTTTTTTTATTGACTGATCACATTGTCTTAGAATCATTTAAATACTGTAAGCTGAACCGTATTATGTAACTTACGCTGTTTTACACTTTTTCCGGTCAAAGAGAGTGTAAAAAACCAATGTATTCTGCAAGTTTGTTCTCGCTGCCTTGCAAAACTTATCTCATCGTGTGTGTGTGTGTGTGTGACCCTTTTCAGTTTGGTATCAGCGACCTAATGGACTAAGGCAGGTGGTCTAGCTCATTTCAGCACTTAGGAAACCCAATCTATGCTGGAAGCCTTCAAATGTGTTTGCTCAATACACTCGTTCCGTGTTGACCAGCAAATGATCTTGTGGCAAAAAATTGTGCTTAAGCAACTCTGCATCTAATAAAGTGCACACAAGTGACACTATTAGCTCTCATTTGTTTTGAATTTAGGAGCGTGATCAACTTCTCGCAGGTTCCACTGAAGAAAGCTTTTTAAATAGATTCTACGTGAGCGATTATTTCCTCGACTCTCATTACTTTTTTGCGCACTGCAATTTAAAGTCCTTCTTTCAAACAAGCAGTGATGCGCTTTACGTAGTGGTCTACCAGACAAAGTACACTGTGGTAACTGGTAAATTCCGTGAACTCGATAGGACAGTAAGTCACATGAGGCAACTGAGCACTTAGGTACTTGCCTACCTTCGCATCCATTCAATGGTATTTGGATGTGGCATGATGCATAAACACTGAGGGATACACATACAAGATTGTTAAGGTGAACCAAGGAAAACACGCAGAATTTCTCGTGGGTGTGTATAATGGTTTTGGAGATACGTTCCCTGGAAAATCCATTCCAGCCAAAAGTGACGACATGCTAAATATCACTCGGTTTGGCAAAATAACATCTTCCGTATGAAATGATTTAGTAATCTTCTAATGGCTATGAGGAACGGTGCATATTTTGCTTCTATTAGACACGAACGCATATGGCTTTGTTACGACATAGTGAAATTTCTCCCAGTCCAAAAGAGAAAACCTCATGAGGAAAATTTAGATGATATTGGTGAAATTATAGCCATCCGTTATGAGAATATTACTGATTTGGAATGCATGCGAAATTTTCAGGAATAACTGTCCAGAATTCCATGTTCTCGTGAGTAAACACCCATTTCAGACGTTTGGATTTGTTGTTTTCTCATCTTCCAAGTCCAAGTAAGCTAACACTGATCTCTTCAGTGTAGTCCTTCCGAATCGGGATATTCCCCCTCCTAAAGGGTGTACATTTCTGAAATTACATAAAACACAAGATAAGTGAAATTTCCGAACAAAGGGTGGTCTTATGGCTTGTCAAGAGACTTACCATAAGATGCGAACTTAAGAGTGAATATTTTGGTCTTTCTAGTCAACATTGTGGATCGAAAACTCGATTGTGTGGTTGGTAATCCAGGTGATTAAACGACCACATGAAGAATAAAATGTCAACGTTCCTCAAAGGTTGAATAAAGATCGCTTAGTTCACAGGAAAAGACGCTGTAAGACACTGCTAAGTTAATGCAAAGCTGTTTATGTCTATCGGCGTCAGAGTCAGGGTACTGTTGAAAACTGATGCTTCTTTTCAGTTGCACTCTCCTAAGGGTAATTTCAGCTGAATTGTGATCCGCTACAAGCTGGATTTTCGGCCTGAGTACTGATTATTACGTGAGCTTAGAAACACCATAAACGAGAGATTCGGCTGGGTTCCAAGTGAGTCTCTCGCGAAACTAAATTTGCTTGCAAATGAGTGTATTTCGCTAAGGTGAGCTACTTCTTCAAAGAAAATGAAAATAGATTACGTGTGAGAGTAAATTCAAGCTATCATCCAGGTTCGGACACCTATTTGTACTTCATTGCAATACGTGATAAAGAGATGAAAATTGATCCTCCTATTGCTTGTCTGCGTTCGACTACGCGGGTGTCATAACTGATAGATATATCGAAACCTCAAAGGAAGATGAAACAAACAAAAACAGACTGTTCTTAAGAAGACGGAGGAGATATCAGATTACTTGCTTCAGTCAATGACATGTTGCGAACAGATTTGACGTTTACATCCCTGCCAGTAGCTCAAGGTTATTGTCGGTGGTGCCAAAAATATGACTTCAACGGCAAATGGTGTGAAATATAAAGTTCATGACAGGTTTCTTAAAAAGTAAATGTTTTACTAAATGTTTAGTTGGGTGTCACGTAATATTGGAAGGTCGGTATAATCTTCCGGGTGGAAGCGGGCACTTTAGCCGGGGCCCATGGATAATCCTCACTAGTGTATTTTTCCAGCTCACCCTGTTACCAAGGTACTCACTGATTTGTCTAAAAGCACACTATTTTTCCACACAGTGACTTCCGGTCAGTTTCTTGGAAGAAGGTCAACGGATTGAGTTCAATGAAAGCCTTTAGGTTGGAGGCTGTGGACTGTTCACCTAAAAGTTAGCTACCCGGAGAATCACACGTGGATTAATAAAGTGTATCGACCGAATAGAAATCAAAAATATCAGCAGAGGAAGTAGGGAAAAGATCACCAACAATGGTTGGAACCACAATACGGGCAAGTGACAATAAGTGGCATAGCTAAATAAAGCCTGAGACATCTAGGCGGCGTGGAATACTTGACAGCAATGCCTATAAGGCATGGAAAAAAGCTAAACGGAATGCTTCCTAAGAATCTATCTCTGAACAGCATGAGAGCTAAGATGCCCCCATAAGGCAGTACTACGGAGAACCAAAGGCTTTTGTCGCTCAAGATAAAGAAACCCATACACTAATGAGCGCGGTAACAGGTGAGTGACAAGAAACTAACTAGTATGACCCACAACTTGAGTCTCGCACACCCCTCTGTCCTGTCGAATCTCAAAGTTGGGATTGTGCACGTGATGATCCGGCACATTTCCTACTGTCATGCCAAGTGGACATGGAGGAAGCTGAACAATGTTTGCATTTTCATGCGCATCACCACAAGGCTACTTATTGGCTAGTGAGATTACAAGTCCACAATCTCTAACCTGCCTCGCCACCCCGTAACCACTATGGTTTTTAAGCAAAAAAGGTTCCATTTATTATTCTAATTTGCTACAGTGTATTACGTGCGAAGTCAAGAGAATAGACAGTTTTTCAGATATTCCGTAACATATGCCGTTCTCACAGTTTGCCCAGCGAATAGGCAAGCTTCTCTACTTCTTGCGAAAATTAAGCCTCATTATCCTGCGATTTACTTAGCGACATCAACAATCCGTTGTAGGTGGGAACTTTTGCTAATTTAACTAGCTATGGAAAGCTTGCATCCAACATCTCAAGCTCAGGGGACACATCACTGACCTCCTAAATGAACCAAGCCACCAACCATCCACTTCGACGGCATAATCGAAACTCAAATCCCATCCACCTGGTTCTTGTAAAGTTAAAAAAATAAGCGCATTGTATGGGAATGTCGTTAGATGAAATTCTTCAGTGTACCAAATAACCTGAAATAAGATATATAAACAAACGCAGTCGGTAGAGACCCAAAACGGAATGCCGAGTAGTTCAGTTTCCGTCCAAAAAACGCAAAAGGGCTGGCAAAAGGGATGGCAAGTGAGAAAGCAATAAACACACTAGAATCATNTGCCGAGTAGTTCAGTTTCCGTCCAAAAAACGCAAAAGGGCTGGCAAAAGGGATGGCAAGTGAGAAAGCAATAAACACACTAGAATCATGTCACTATGTCAAAGGTCAAGCAAAATCTTGTTATATTCAGTTACCTGGATGATTGTAACAGGAATGCAAACTACCAGCACATTACAGTAACAACTGCTTCGATCAAACAGAAGGCAGTTCTACTATTCACCTCTATAAATTCTGAATAACAAGGTCCATGAAGGTAGTATTGATAGATGACGACACGAGGAGGGTTACGCGAAATCTCCACATGTCCAGTCGCTTGAAAAGGTTGGGTGTAGAAAGTACGTTCGGTTCAGGAAAATTATTCCGTCAAAAATGCCGTCGAGTCCGTTGAACAGTCAGGGTTTATAGAAAAGTTTACCCTGTTTTAAGCGGCGTTTTAGCTCACTCCACATGGTTTGGCGTTCGAGCTTCGCCTTGGAAAGCATTGAACCGTTTTCTAGGGCACGTCTGGATAAGTACGGAAGAACATCCTCTATTGGTCCGTATGGTACATACTTGTAGACGGAGTATCCTCGCTGACCTTTAGAAAGAAATAGAGCAGAAGCTTTAGCTTCAAAATAAAGCAGTTTTTGTACCCGTGACAACAGATGACGGTGGTCTAAGGTTAGAATTCACACACATTTGTATATGCTACAGCCTGAGTCAAGCTATCATGTCAGCTGCAGAAGACGTCGAAAGCAAAGGACCTGAAAGCAACGGGCGCCACTTTAGAGACGCGGTAAGAATGAACATAAGTATAGCGAACGCAGTTTGATTTCACACGATCTTATACGTATGCTAGATGAGGTTCCTTAAGAACGCAGATGGTGGACAGGGTTGAAAACAATATACTACGCACTGTGATGTGATTCGGCCTCATCAGCTGGATGAATCATGTACATGGTTTTCGCTTAAAAGTTTTTCACTGTTGACCGGTTGACTGCTCACGAATTTCACGCCTTATTCAACACTTATTGAAAAAAATCGCGGCAGTTGGAGATGCGCACTGTCATCTTTAACAACGAAAAATTGGTAGACAAAGTGATAAGCGGACGACCTTTTTACATCCACCCATAAATCATTCGGAGGGGTGCTAAACATCCAACAAGTACATTATTCTCAAATTGATAGGATTTTTCAAGCAACACAGCATTACATGCTGTGACGGTGGGGCGAAAGATGTAGTGTGACTGAAGCTTGGAACAGCACGAGAGTGAGAAAAATGACAGGACGAAACATACATAGCATGTTTGATGAAACAATAGTAAACTCTATTAATGAAGCACTGAAAACTGTGGAAAAGGGAAGACAAGAAAGAGGAGCTCCATAATTTACTGATTTGCTAAGGAGAACTAGGAAAAAAGGCGGGTGACAGTAGGAAATAGTAACTTAACACTGAAAGGAATGTTGTACCGACCTCTGAAATGTAATCCATTTTTATTACCTCAGTAATCCTGAATGCCCACTGCAATTCAACATGGCAGCTAAGCATCAGCATGTTTTATTGGTGTATTCATGTCAATTATGATTATGACGATGATGATTGCAATCTATCCACGGAACAAAAGTCACAAGTTGTCCGCAACGACGACATGAACGTAACATTCAACTGCCGCTGAAACACCGATAGCTCAGAAAATGAAATAATCAGCATTCCAACAGGATGGCTCCTAATGACGGACAATCCACAGTCACGACTGTACTTATCCTGTCTCGAATAACAGTGAAACATTTACTAGATCATCGTCAACCTCAGCAAACACGCTAAAGATCGACGATAAAGTATGACGTTTGAGCAGCACAATAAATGAATACGTAACTTCAAAAGCCATTGTACAAAAACCTCCACACGAATTGGACCCATGCCTCCTGTTGTTCTCGGATGGACCGCGAAAAGAACACGTCAAAATTTTATCCTTGTGTCTCCGGAGTCCTGGAAACATACTAGCTGTGCACGAACACTCGTGGGTTGTTGAAGATTGTCTGTTGTAAGTTAGTTAACTGGTTTCACAGGCCTGTCTCACTAATGATCGAATGATGGTATACCAGTAGGCAACATACATCAAGGTGCCCAAAAATGCTATTTTTGTGTAGAGACCTTTCCTGACGCTGAGGGGCTTCTTATTCCCATTGATCCTCTAGCAGAACACCAGAACACAGGCTAGTGAAAGGTTAGACCGGGGTAATCTGCTCGTTGATGTTCGGGGATGATTTGCCTGCAACCAATTGTGGGACAGGCTCTACTCTATCGGTATCTTGCAGCTTAGAGTTGTATTTGAGAACAGAATAACGCACCGTACATTTAGCAGTGCGATTCAAGTTATTCGTGCACAACCTTATGCCTGGATAGTATGGCTCATTAAGACCTGCCCAGTCATCTGAGTGTTCCTGAAACAGCGCCTAGAAATAAATAGAATAAGTAGCGGTTAACCACAGTGAAAAACGAAGTTACAATGACGGTTGAATGTCCAGCCCCTTCAGGTTCAAATATGAGCACAGATTGGCTTCAGCATCGTCGACAGCCACAGACCAGAGGTAGTCACAAGTAATTAGCTGTCCTACAACCGCGAGGAAACAGTGTCATGAGGAAGAGTGGAAGGAATGGGAAAGTATTGATAATAAGTATAAATGGCCTTGCGTCCCTGAAAAAAGGTCAAGGAAACGATACAAATGAAGTCAAGCATCTTATCGGAGTAAGAGGTCAGCAGTGTGATGAAACGAATATCCGTCGCGAACCTTATTCAACGCGATTCCAGTGAGAAGCCCAAGATTGTGAAAACGTGTGGTTTGAAAGTCGGTCAAGCTACCTGTGACGACTAGACTTGGTGAGAATTTGAATAGGGCAGGACAGGATTCAAATGACAAAAGCTGGCAACGTATGGTTACATTGTTGTTTGGAGTTCAGATGTCGAGCCGTAGCTCAAAGAGCCATCAGTGATGCTATTGTGATCCAAACGTCAATTCGAAAAGGCGCACTAAATTTTTGCAGTGAAATTACAACTGTTTATAGGCGCAATACATAAGCCTGGGTCATTTCTTGATAATTCATAGCTAAGAAAAAGTAACAGGACTATAGAAGTCAAATTAACCTACCGAGAGTAAAACTGACGTGGTCACACATCCCGAGGAGTTGTCCAAAACAAATGAGCCGTTGCTCTGGCGTTACACTGTACTCATTCATTCTAGGGAAAAGGAAAATTGAATAGTTAGTCGGGAGCTAAGTCAGCTGACTTTCGAGTTCCAAACCAAACGTTTCTGTCTCAACAGCCTCTATCATTTTTTTCAGAAAAGTTTAAAAAAACTGGTGAAACTAATGATAGCTAGCTAGGGCACCAAGGAAAACAGTAGGTGAAACAACGGCAGTGAAGCACCAGTATCAACACTGATGTTGCTGCCTCCGATGATGATGATTCCTGTGAATGTCGTCAATTCGAATGGGTTAGCTTCCATATTCATACCTGGCACTAATAAGAATATGCCCTGTGTAAATGCACCCCTTAACGTCACTCTATAGGTATCACCTGGGGTATTGTTTACGCTGCTTCGCTCACATTATCGAGCAATCTGCTTGGAAACATTTCATCACAAGTTAGGACAAGTCATCAAGGTATTAGCTATAAACGTCATCCCTGCTAGCATTAAGTTTTTCTTGTAGTAGCAGTTCGGAAGCTGATTTCCCGTTGTACTTCATTAGTGAGCAAAATTATGCATTCCCAAAAGGGTTTAGGTGACTGCACCACCATTGATAGGGGTAGAGCTGGCTCGTTTGCAGAAGCTTGTGTGGAGGGACAGTATCTTTTTGAAAGTGATAACTGACCCGACGACGGATGCTTGTAAGATCACGTGTGTGGGCATTCCCGTTAGCCCGCTGTTCAGTACGACGTCTCACAGTTTGTGATAAACATGTTCGGGCTGGGACAAGTACCCAGAGTCTTGTAGGGCATGCTTCATTGATGAGTTAATCACGAAAAGGAACAGAAGCAGTGGGGAAGGCCTTGTTTCATGAGCAAAACGCTATTGTCTTCTCTCCATGCAAAAAAATTGTTGGAGCGCACGGTTCGGTCATAAAGCCCTAAGTAATAATGACAATAATAATAATAGTCATAGTTGTCAGCCTGAAAAAGGTGTACGACAAGACAGTTTTGCTTCTCAAGGAAGAAATCGTGCACAAGAACATGCAATATATCATCAAAACATCCGGTTGAGACACCATTCGATAGAGACACGTCTAGTTATACTTCGCGGTGATTCTGAGAACCCTGAATTTCACTTGAGCTTCGCGGATTTTTTCTGGGAGTAGGTCTCCTGCATGAACACCCGAACACAGGTAGAAACAGTCGTGTTTGTGGTAATGGAAATCGCCTGTTGTAAACAAATACATACCGGTGTGAGTATGATTAGGCCAAATAAAACGTACTTCTCCAGCACGAAGCGAACCATGTCCTCGTTATGGGTTGCCATCATTACGGACACATGACCCAGCGGGCGCTGCTTGATGGCATCTAACACCCCGAGTACACAAGACTTGTACATTTTCGTGGTAGCATCGTAAGTGGGGCAAATCGGATCTTCATAGTCCAGCGCGCGAGCACGTGCACGCTCCTAATGGTTTGGAGAACAAACATAAAGGCAATCATCAGACGGATTCTGTTGTCAATGTGGTGAATTCATTGACCGAGAATTTTTTACTGAACTAGAATGAACAAAGTATGCGACTAGGAAACATAAATCGTACCTCAGAAAAATGAAGATGGAACCAAATTCATTTCTTCAGTCCCCTACTGTTCACGAACAACAACTCTAAGGTCTAATAGAGAAAAACAACATAACAATAGGTGTAGGTGAGTGAAAACAGCGTGAGAAATCTAAATCACATTAACAAGAGTTGCGTTGAAGTTTCTGTAAATAGTAGGAGGTTAATGTAGCAAACATAGACAATCGTCTGGATGCAGTTGATAATTGTGTTCTCCCAAAAAGTGATGAAACCCGAACTCAATCACCATGCGGTCAAGCAGTGATCAACTGACCTACGATTCGAATCATTCATGTTGAAATGAAACAGATAAGAGATCGGTTTAACGAACACCAAAATGGGAGGACAAAGTCATAGCAACAGGAAATTGATTGATGAATTAAACAATGAATCGGAAAAAGCGTTCTGATAGTTCATTGAGAACACTAGCGTAACATGAAAAAAACGGGCATGAAGTTGGAAGAATACCCAAATGAACACATCATCTGTGGACGAAAAAGTAGAAGAAAGATTCTAGAAGTTACTCACCGGTTGAAAAAGAGCGATCAGTCAACGTATCCAAGGTGGGTGAGTGAGTGAGTATAGGAACCAGAAACGCTAGACAACGTTAAACTGATCAAAGCTGTGGCAACATACCTGGTCTATGTAAGCTCCTCGAACAAGCTTGGCGCCGAAATGAAACCCTTCGACTTCGGAATGGTTCAAATCTTGCTGAAGCAGGTCATATGCATCCTGTAAGATATAAAAAAGCGAAACTAGTGACTCCCTTCGTGGATAAAAACGGTAGCAGTAGTTCGGGGACCGATTCCTGTCTAGATAGTTGAGAAAACAACTTAACGAAGTGAACACTGATTTTGAAATACAAACTCTATGAGAAACATGGACATCATTAGCCATCGGAGTAACAGCTAACCCAATGAACAACCCCCTATCACAGATAAGAATAGATCCACAATCTGTGGACCCAGGATAGAGTTCTCTGTATTGCATCTCCCCAAGAATTATACAGAGGATCAATAAAGGGACCTCGAAACGGCGGTTGCATTTGTCAAAAAAGAACTGACATAATGCGACAAAGGTGATCAATATTCACAAGACGACTGATTTCAAAGATGTTCAACACTGATCTACTGAGGAGACAACTGGATAGATCAATCACAGGTCAAACGTTACAACCATGGCAGAAGACAACATGCTAGAGCGATTTACTGAGCTATGGTAATCATATCATCCCAGAGATTAGTGCCCATCACACTTGGACCGCCCAACCTTTAAAAACAGCATGTTTGTGCAAATTGAAACAAGTGTCAAAGAATGACGTTGCTGCAAATGAAAATCCGAACCGAATTAACACGTCAGAAGGTGAACGTATCTGTGGGCAACAGCTTATGAGATCCACGTTTGAGATGGCGAAAGTAACCTTTATAGTGTTGATAGACGCATAGAAACGCGATGCAGCTTAATGGTAAAGATGACCAAACCCATGAAATTCCGCTTGGTTCACATGATCTGTTGGATTTATGTTGATCTCAGATGAGAGGAAAACTTGAATATGTGCATTCTGCATGTTTCGGTATTTGGCACTCTTCACATCTTCACAATTCTGGAAGCAACAAACGACAGATGTAACTCGAGGCGCTTAATACTGATCGGAGTTGGTCGGACAGTGTTTCTTACTTCCATGCTGTGCTCAGTGTCAGCTGTACTGTGGAATCGGTAGTTACTTCTGTGGTTCCGACTACGATCTAGCTTGAGTTATGTTTGCATATTCACCAACTCGTGAATATGCTGGTTGTGTATTCAAGGTATTGTGCTGCGTATCACCAAGAGTGAATAGACCAGTGTACTTTTGTTTGAGTTGGCACTCTAACTTTGACATTCGGGTAAAGGGGATGTTCGGTCGGGAGCTAGAATCGGAGGATGGCGGCACGCAACGCTCTGCTTAATGTTACACGGTATCTGGTTTCGTAGGTCAGTAAGTGGATTGGCTCTGAAATCCAGACATGATGGCTGGGAATTGCAGCTTTAGATCTTGTGCTTTCATGCTGAACTTGGACAGGCTCTCATGAAATCGGTCTTCTCGCAGCATTCGCGATAAAACCTGCTCTGTTGCTCGCTCTACTGCTAGTAAAGCAATGGAGGTTGCAATTTTTTTCAAAGTTGCTCTGTTGTGGACGCCGAGTACCCTTTCGAGATCCAGTGATCTTCCAGAGATCCGGCGAGATGCACGTTTAGGAAGCGCTGTGAATGATATGCCTCCTGTTCTGATGTAACTTGGATAAGAAAACGAAGCTGGCTGAACTGGGGGGAAATCACTTGACCACTTTGTTCACTAATGTCTGTTGCCAATTAGAATTTTGAATACGCCTCGTTCAGATGACGAATACGGCCATGACAACGTGGTCGTAAAATACAAAAGGAGTGATTAGTATTCATATCTATCGGAAAACTGCACCTATCTATCTGGCTTTACGGATGAAAGCGCGATTTCCAGAATATCCCTTTCTGGAAATTCCGTTCGGATTTCGTCATCTCACTTTTTCGTGGTATGTATCGGGGTGGGTGTACTGTCACAACCTGATTCGCTGAACGCGCAAATAAAAGTAAACACGAAAATGAGTTAAACCTCGAAAAATCTAATCCACGACGCAGGATGTTGCTCCTCGAAGTGAAGTAACCAGACAAATCACGTCAAGAAAGAAGGATAGTTCAATCGGGAACGATATGAACACAATACAAGTTAGTAGTCACACAAAATTAGCTTGGAATTTTCGCGAAAATATTTTAGTAGGATGGAACAATGAATCTGCTACTTACGATAAAGATAGGGCCGGTAGGACATTGCTGAGAAAGCCAGTAAGAATCGTAATATAACTAAGGTTGTGCATCTGAGCGGGAAAAACGTGCATGTCATATACACGGGGTTACCTTCAGGTAGCATTGGTAGGTATTGAACATCACAGCACCATCCTTATTGAACAACCTCATCATCTCCATTGTTAAGCGACGGATTGCCGGTTGAAAATAGGACTGCTCTGCATCTACCATCACACGCACTCCGACCGATTTGGCGTACTAAAAAGCACGATAAGAAGACACTATTTTAGCAGCAGGAAGACGTTGGATGGACACGAATCACAGACTGAGTTGAACACTTTCATATACCATTCTACGGTGGAGGATTTGATTTTCTGCAATCAAATTAAGCAATGGGCGAAAGTTAAGAAGTCACGGAAAGATCATCTCGTGGGCAAAAGAAGATCTGAAATAGCCGGGAACCTAGAATACGAAAGGCACTCATGGCGAGGCGGTGGTAAGGCTCGGCAGATGTGCAACCAAGATCTGAAAAGCCGGTTTTCAAAAACTGGAAGCGTCGAACTAAACGGTTAATTTTTTGCCAGGGCTCAACAATTAGCACTGTTAGTACCTGCATAACTGACATGTCGAAAACCGGAATAAACGAAGTAAGTGTTCAAATCTAAAGCAGATAGGGCTCAACAATTAGCACTGTTAGTACCTGCATAACTGACATGTCGAAAACCGGAATAAACAAAGTAAGTGGTTCAAATCATCAAGCAGATATAAGAGTGAGGGAAATTATGTGCAGCGTACAAATCGACATGTATCGCAGACAATAAACTGTATATTGTCTCGATGCATCCAATGCTACAAAAGGCATGAAAGTTTCTTATCCAAGAAAATCCATAGCTCAAAGACAAGGGTAGCTGTTTTGGGGTAACTGCCGAATGGATAGCTGCTCTATTACAAAATCAGCGGTAAGTCACATGAACAGCAGGAGTGCATCATCTTCCCCAGTATGCAGTACGATAAGTATCTCGTGCTGCAAATCAGAGGAGCTAAGCCTTCGAGTGACCAAACAGATTTTATAACCCACTCGCCTCTCTGCATAAGGACCGCATCTGGAAAACACCAACTGAACACGTGTCTGGGGTTATTCTGTATAGCCTTCCGTCCGCAATGGTTCTCTTAACTATTAGGTCTGCTTGTGAGCAAAACCGATAAGGATCAGAGTGTCTATAAGAAGGGATGCCCCGACCATTATGCCTCCCCATGCTGTCACTCAGTCAGATTCTGGAAATGCACCAGAATCCTACAAGGTGAATCTCCGACGCCCTCGGAAGTTTATGACTGCATGATTTCTCTCACAGGCCCCAGAGCTCCTGATCTGGAAGGACCTCCCACCGGCAAAGTTCAAGAATGGGCCTGAAGTCTTTAGTCTGTGTCACCACTAGGTAAAAACTGAAGAGAATGGGCATTAGTGACTGCTTCCGAAAACGGCCCGTAGTGAATTCGGTAATAGAAGGGGGACCAGCTTGACTCCGCTTTTGATGACATTCTTGGCGCCACTTGTCCTTCGTCGCCTTACAGTGGCCCATGAAGCACTGACTCGACAGCAAAGCGCGGGATTCCGGTTGAGTAGAGGTTGATCGTATGTTCACCCACAGCCGCTAGAACAACACCATACGTAGAAGCGACCCAAAAATTTGGCATTTTTTGATTTTCAAGGCGCATCTGAATCTGTTGCTCAGTCTGTTTTCTTTAAAAGCATGCTCAGCAGGGAATGCTCCAGAATTTAGTCAGTATGGTAGGTCCTTTGCAATCTCAGACTTATGAGACCACACGGTGGGCAATCCGAAGTGGTATCCGTGGAGAATGCCAACTCAATCCGTCGCAAATCAACCGTGGTTGACAAGATAGCGAGGCGAATGCTGTCACTTTTTCCGACAATCATTTATGCAGACATCGGTCTCCCTTTCGAAGAGGAAAAGGAGACACGAAGGCCTCTGGATGTAGTGACATGCACCTTGCATCCAGAAGGTGTAGGGTCATGCTCCTTGACATGCGATCACTGAACACGTCACTCACAATTCAAACAGATACTGGAGATTATGGGGTGATCTACGTATCCTGGAATTTGTATAAATTCCGAATGTAGTGTAACGGGTGTCAAGGCACAAATCTCTAAGGCTCGTGTTCCGTTGGCTAAGTTGAGACACTTATTACGACCATACGGTATAGCACTGAATCCCAGGGTACGTGTGCACCAGGTTACAGTACAGAATGTTTCGTTGTATGGATTGACACGTGGTCTTTACGAGAAGCGGAACTGAGAAGTTCTTGATTTTTCGGCAACCGTTGTCTCCTATCTACACGTTGTGTGGGTTGGTAAAAGCGAATCCGCAATGAGACAGTTAAAAAGCGAGTGTTCAGTCGTGAAACGTGAACTTCAAAGAAAGAATGCCCCCAGCACAAAGAGCTGCAGTTCTTTAGTGCCAAATCACTGTTTTTCCTGCCTAATTCATGCAGACAGGTTGTAGACTCAGCAGAAGGATATGAAAGAGACTGAAAAGTCTAGGTGGTGTCGGTGTGACTGGCTTTCCAAGATGGGGTCTAAATGATCTTCCCATTGGAGGAGCTAAAAGACGCAGTCACCAATCAATACCAAAGGTATTCATGATATCAGATTCTACCCGTATTGTCCGAATGAGCGTCTGGAGGTGTAAGCACTTTTGAAGGGTTGCGGTAAGCTAGTACTAGGATCCTTCTCTATCCACTGTGAGTGCCTTTTTGACAGTAAGGAATAACCTTTCCTTATCGGCCATTGGAATTCGTATCTGCTAAAACCATTTGCACAATTACAGGATAGAGTGGCGGTTAATAAAAGGGAAAATAAGAAATCGACAGACTGACTTGTAATCAAGAGGTCTTAACTTGATCCCACTTATCGTTTGGAGGTAGAAAACTTCCAAACATATAGAGCAAAATAAGTTAGGTTATTTAAAACAGCAGATTCAAAGTAGGTGATCCACGGGGAGTAAATCTTTCTTATCATTAACGTTTAGTAGCATTCCGATCACGGAGAAGTTAGGGCCCAATAGGAAACTTGGCACTGCACGTGGTCAACCAGAATAACGATGAAAAAGAGGACGATGTTGCCAACCCTGTCGGAGATGAGATCAGACGAGAGGTTACCTTGGACCTGGAAGCCGGATCGCATCAGAAGGGTTCGGTAAACAACCAGTGCAATTACTGTTACTCACATTTTTCTGAAATGTTGACTACTCTGACGGTTCTAATCATTTTTGATGCCTCCTTTATACCTTTCTACGACGTCATAAGTTGATGGTGCCGGAACTTGTGCATAGAACTACAGTAGTTTTAGCAAACGATTCGACACGTACGGTCCAGAATTCACAATTGTTGGTGTAATGGTATCTCAAAAGAAATAGGTAGTTCAATGGAATGCCTTCGATTACCAGACCCTGTCATAGTGCCCGATGGTCTGCAGAGTTGAAAACTGCCTTCAAGATGAAAAGTACTGCAAATGAAAGAAGTGAATATGGTACATACCGCATAAAACGCAAGCACGGGTTGCTTCACATGAATCTAGTTAATTGCTGATGTAAACTCCAGAGTGCCAAAAAATAGATGTTGCAGCTACAAGGCTGACGATATAATGCAGGATGTCCATTTACCGTTTTTAGAACTTGGAATATCTACGCTCCACCCAGCGATTGACTTCTCTCCTATGCACACACTCCGAGGTAGAGATGTTAGCAGATTTTCACAGTATTCGGTAGGTGAGAGATACAAAACTTCCCATCCCTCTGTAATGAGTTTGAGTGCTGAGATTTACTGTCGTCATTCCTAGTGGACCTCGGTGTGTTATAGGCTGAATTCTGCATCAAAACGTTCAGTTCAGCAAAACCGAAGACCTTTCCGTGAGTATTCTGATGATCTGGATGATGGATGTTGCATTTCCCCCCATCAACTAGAAAACAATACGAGTGTGAAATCTGAAGGATGATTCCTACTTTCGGATCTTAGCTATCTGCCAGTTCTACCGACCGTTGTTCAGGTTCCCTAGACATCGACAGTTGAAGGAAGAAGGTTCGTCATAATATTTGATCACTTTAACGGTATTCTGTCGTATTAATAGCAAGTGCCGACAATACGCATTTACTCATCGAACGAACTCCGATGGCTCAGTAGTTGAGGTGAAACCACATTAACCGGAAGTTTCGTGGTTCAAACCGAAACCCGGCATCTCAAGTGCACCTGGCAGCATCTCAGTCCTTCTGCTTCCCTCCGGGAGTGTGACAGCTGGATGTCGACAAGGTTTCATGGCAGAACGATTTAGTTTTAAACCATTGAATGGGCAGAAAATGCCAATTTCCACTTGGCAGGTACCAGAATACTTAATGAAGAGGTTCGTTTTCCGAATTTGTGTTGGCCAGAACTTAATGGTATTAAGCGCATGACCACAGGAGTTGTTCGTTGTTCTCCAGCTGTAGTACGGCTATTTAGCATATGCAGGTACGATAACACCACAGTTCTCCTGCATGTGGAATGGTGGGAAGATAGGATCCTTGCCTTAACACTGCATTACTGAATGCAATTCATCGCCCAGATCCGCATGCGTGCATCACATTAATTTGACGAAGCTATGGTCGTAGATGGCCCCGTGCGAACACTACTTTTCAGAACCGACTTCTCCGATTTGCTCAGTAAGGCGTTACCGTAGAGTGACAAAAGTGGTTAATCGATAATGCTAATCTCTGCTAGCAGCTAACGAGCTCCTCACCTCGCTGGTCCTATGACAATAGCTATTTTTGTTGTCACTTCGGTGCCTTTGTAGCCTCGATCGATTCAGCCTTGATTGCCACCTACCGTAAGAGCGCTAAGTTCCGCTCCTGTCGACAATCACGTGCGTAGAAACCTGACGATTCCTGTTCTCAAATGAGAGGATGGTCATCAGCGTAGGATATACTTCTTTTTGTTTTTCAGCCTCTTACATCTGAAGTACGCTCAAGCCCGTCATAAGTAATGTACTTCGGGCGTTTGAGGATCTGATCTTCCCATTTATAAGGTCAAATAGAAAAATAAGTAGTGTAATTCCATGCTACGATTCCAGCTTTACTTCGATGGTATGTGTAGAAGATTAAAGCTATTATTTTGAAGTTACTGTTATTATTCCAAACTTCATAGACTTCTTAACATGAATGAACCTGCTTGAAATCAAGTGAGGAATGGTCTTATACAATCGAAAGGTGAGCCCCAATATATAAATTATAGATTTCACAGGAGTCCGAGCCATGTGCTAGAAACGTGCAGATGCACTGTCACATATTAACTTCAACCAACGAGAAGCCGTACGCCCATAACAAAATTACTGGTACTGAGGCATCGCGGTAGGTACGTAAGCGCGGTATGACGAAAAAGTACTCTAGTAAGTAAATACGAATCTTAGTTTAAAATAAGGGAGGGGGGATCAAACTATTCGGCATCCAACGGGATTCTTAGGTAGACATTATAACAACGGACATTGCACACTCTGACTTCCAAGTTAGTGAGGCCGTCGATCAACATTTGCTGTACCTGAAAATATAGTCCAAAGACACACATATGAGTGGCAATTTTCCCAAGCAGTTTGAGCAACGCGGAAACGCAACAGCAAATCCGGTTATGATTCCCGGTGTGGCAATAAACTTCAAGCTGAGGATACGAAATTTATGCAACATTCGGTGCCGTACAGCAGAAGGGGCATCAGTTGAACTTTCTTAAAGTTGGAATAAACACGAAAGAGAGGTTATTTGAAGTGATACTTTGCAAGCGGTGAATCAAAACATTGGCAACCCATTTTGGTCTACTGGTATTAGGATTAACGCTCCTCGAAAATCGGAAATTTCCCCAGCTGTAAGACAACGGTTGAAACGAAAGCCCTATGTGATACGGCTGCTGTTGTGGCTGACTTAGTATAAAGCGCAGCAAAAAAACTACTTAATAGGCGCACCACTAGAAGTTGTACCAAAAGAAATATTGCCAATTTGGTCTATCCAATAGATGCATGGTGGATATGGTCAGTATTCAAGTAAGCAAACGAAATCTATGTAGCAACGGCCATAGGTCATATTGCCAGTCAATCTCTGACTTAACGAAGAGCTACCAACAGGCAAGTTGAACTACGCAGCCGTGCTGGTCGTTCATCATGTACTTTTTGCGGTCAGAAATGCGCCTGGTGTAATAAAGTCAAATGGAATTTCGATGACAACGTCCATGTCATATAATCACGAAAAACTGCAAAACATGAGCACGCTGTAGTGTAAACTAAGGGTATGATTATTACAAATCAAGCATAATCGAAAAAGTTTGGAAACTCGGCCAGGTGAAACACCGGAATGCTGTGTTTATCTATCTTTTGATGCCCGTTCGCAGAGAACTATCCAGAAAGGCTCCAAAAAAGGTGAAAACCAAATTTGATTCAACCGTTTTGAAAACCGAATATCCCGATAAGATTTTCGTCGTTATCAATTCTCCCAAACTGGGCGTTCCTGCCATCAGCCAGGATACTTCTTTACACAGGAAAGTTGGGAAAGTTCTCACTAAGTTGTTATTGTTGGCTTCGCTCCACGCACATGCGACGCTCTCCCTTGACGTAGCCCGCCATGGGAAGACATCTCTGTCGCGAAGTTGACTGTCACCTTCGACGGCTGGAACCATAAGCACTTCAGAAGTAATATCTCCACACCAAAAAGATTTCTCAGACTGGAATATAATGGGTTTCATCAAAAACTTGGGGTGCAAAAAGTTGACAATTTCATTCTCGCGGCAATTATAACACGGACCAAAGGTAGGAAAGCTAGAGCACATGTTGATGCAACTCATGGGCTTTCCAATAAAATTTTTTTCACTTCTCATCGGAATTCACGCCGTCTTCTGGTTCTTACTTATGCGTAGACGGATGAGCAAGAACCATCTGATTCTAATGTAATTACTGACACAGGCCGGTTAGTAAGTATACGGGCTTACAATCACGAACATACAAGATTATGTAATATTCACAGCATCTGTAGCAGACGAAGCGAAACGACACGGCACAGGCATTAAGGCTGTTAAAGGCACTTGAACACCACTAAATATCCATTATATTGGAGCAGACAACGTGCGTGTGGTACCTGGCTTATCAAGACCAACCACATCCTCGGAACACAATCATTCGACTTCAGATTTTTATTGGTCAAGGGTCACCACTGCTCAATTTCGTTTTGCCAAGCAAACACACTTAAGACAGCGATGCGATTACACGTTAGCGTCGGTGGCATCAGTTACACATCATCTACTGTTGAACATGTCAAGGAACAAAACGCGGAACCAGAAAAACAGAAACACAAAATATGAGGATGCTCAAAACAAACCACTGAAAGGCTGAAGACAATGACCGATCGCATCACAAACCTCAAATAGAGATATCTGAGCAACCAGCCAGAATTTTAACCAGACTTAAGGATACACCACAAAGCCTAGGCAGTATTACTTCAACTGACCGATCATACCCTCTACTCGAGATACATAGGTACTCTGGACTGAAAGCAATCTTGATCTTATTGATATGTTATGTAAAACGGTTTTTGGCCAGGATACCCACATGATAAGAAGAGAAAATAACTACAATGATGAAGTACCCCCTTGACTTGGAACGACGGATTTAAGATACAAAACATCAAAAATGATTGGCTCACATATCGGAACTAATGGTGTTTCATCCTAGGGATGTCTGATATTTCAGTGTCTTGTGGAGCTAAATTAGGCAGCTGTGAATAAGACCGAAAGGTCGCTGAAGCAGGCTACCTAGGCCATACTTGAGAGTATACAGTCTTCACGTATAAATTGCTAATGACAGTGAAAACTGAGTGTGAAAATCCCTATAAAAATTGCAGTGCACGAATATTTGACAGTAACTATTACGATGGGACGCAAATAATCTGGGAAGTTTTAATTCACTATCAGACAAAACATTGTAACGTCCTTATGATTCGGTACAAGGTTGATACGCCAACAAAAAGTGAAAGCCCCGCAACCACTACGTTGCATAAGCATGGAGAATAAAGGACTAAAATATAGCAGTGGAAGTGAAACATATCCTTTAGTTAAGAGCTACATCGAGCTCGAGATCTAAGAATCTTTTCCCAACGCCTTCTGGGCAAAACTTCACTAATCAAGCGGAAATGTGGACGTTTTCTAGTTTCGGCTGACTGAGGTCGATGCATAGTAGAGAAAAATCCTCAGCTTGCAAAATAGTGTGAAACCCAAAGCAAGCAGTAGGTAATACTGAGAGAAACCGCGTAGAAATTAAAGATACGAGGTTTGACTCGGAAAGTTGAAAAGATGGATATGCTCAAGACACAGTTTCGTTTCAACCAGCAGCTTACCGTTGCAATCGTATCCATTCGCCGAAGCATGTTCCTCATCTGCTCTAAACCATCTGGAGTTAGGGTTGGAACCAACTGTTCGAGCTTTCCTGTCTGTAGTAGAAAATTAAAAAGGCAATGATATTTTGAAAACACCATACAGCTGACCTCTATTTGCTGGCTTGTAACACGTGAACCATTGGTGGTAAATGAGACCAGAATAGTACTACTAGTATTAGTTCTGGTACTAAAACTTCCTATACCTTGACTGTAAGAGAAACTTGGTTATGTGAGTAGTGCTCACAATGAAGCATCCCACGTCTCGCATCCTGTTTTTATTAGTGTTTTCCTTGTACAGCAGTTCGAGAACGGTAATGTATGGGGGGTGGACAGTGACCGGGAGCGAACAAATTATGTGATTCTCCGTTTCAACCGCGAAAACCTCATGGGTCCCCAAAGTAAACGTGTTCCTGGAAAGAAAACCTTGGTACCGGGATTCAATAACAACTCTTTGTGATGAATGTATCTGGTTGGCGAACTTCGCTGTATTTGTAAAGCGCCTACATTTATACGACCGCCGGTACGTAACCATCATAATAGCATGACGCAGGCTGAGTCATGAAGGGCTCAATGATGGACTTGTTTAACGAGTCATCGATGGCATACCAACCTATAGTTTGTAGGTTGCAAAGGGTTTTAACCCCTCCTTTTCAGGTCCGAATATGGAGTAATCCATGTTTCTCCATATATGGAGAAATCCATGTAAATCCTGTATAGCTGCTTCATCCTTGCTGGGGGTCACCAGCGGTGCATGTATCACGAAGAGCTGAGGAGATTCGAACCCACGGCCTCCTGTAGGTGGCTACGGGTGGCCATTTAAAATGAAAAGTAACTCACCCTTAGACAGGATATGACGCCACTACCATTCGAACACTTAGCCTGCCTTTGACTATCTCAGAAAAGACCTGAAAATAAGTATAAATCAGTTGTTCCGAGGTTTGTGGGGGGAATCCTGTAATCAAGGAGTTCAGCCTAAAATCTTGTTCCGGCAAACTTGTAACGTCGCGGAAAATAGCGGAAAATTCTGTCATACAGTCAAAAGAACGCCCGAACAGCAATGCGTTCTTTTGAGGCGGCTGCACCAGGTGAAATGACCACAGCGATATCTTTCTATTTTGGCGGATGCTTAATATCCGGAGTTGAGGCAAGTGTTGTCTATGTAAATCCACGTATGTTGCTCAAAATGGCAATTTCCAATGATCGGGGCGAGATGGACCAAGTGGTTAGGGGGCGAATTTACTGACCGGAAGGTCCGTGGTTCGAACCCGACCTCTGCCACTCGACTTCCTCTGTCTAGGCTTGGGCGACCAACCCTCGTGCCTCCTTCGTGTGGCATGGCAGCTAGGCACCGAAAGGATGCTACAGCTGGACGATTATATTATTTTTATTACCAATGATCATATAATGGAGACTTGGAGACACTAAATTTGAAGACTCACATTCCATCGTTATGTGTGACTGATCAGAAGGACCGTGGTTCGAACCCGATCTCTGCCTCTCGACTTCCCTTGTCTAGGCTTGCGCAACCTTGCAGTATGCCGGCCCTCGTGCCTCCTTCGTGCGGCATGGCAGCTAGTACCAGGAGGGTGCTACAGCTGGACGATTATATTATTTTTATTACCAATGATCATATAATGGAGACTTGGAGACACTAAATTTGAAGACTCACATTCCATCGTTATGTGTGAGGCCAGTTTCATCAACCCTGATTGACACAAATTGTTGAGATTTGGGGACGAACACCCTGAAGACTTATTTCACGTTAGAATGGGATATAAAAGGGCAGGAATATTGAAAAGTGCTGAATATGTCGAAAATGTCGAAACTTAGGGTCTTCCAGAAAACGTGTGCAGCAGGTAATTCAGCCGCGGAAAACATCAAGCACCATCAACAGTGGTGTTTCGACCACTGGTTACGCACGCCAAAACATCGTCTACGGAGACGTGTGTTGTTCTTTGTGCATCCTTCAGAACGGCGCAAGCTGAGAGGCGGATGACGTGCAAGGGATTAGGAATGGTTGTTAGTGGTGAGGTCCGTTTTCCAGAATGAGGCCCCTATGACCTCCCCTGCGCTTGATTGGAGGCATTGCAAGAAATGGCTGTTAGTCGCGTTCCTGCTGTCAATTACTTTACATATTGTCTTATCGAACAGTTGGAGGTCCATGTGCCTTAGAATGCTTCCTATTGACCAGCATTAAATCTATTCCTCATCCACTCCTTTCTCTTCTTTTCACTTCAAGTCTTTAAACATAATTATATGAACTTTTTGATTGTAAAGCATTAAAGCATCGGCATCAACACTGAAAATGCTGCCTCTGATGATGATGAGGAAGAACGATCGACAGTTTAATCAGGCTCGAATGCAACGCTGCTAACCGTACGGCCAAATCGCTACAACCCACGATGGCTGCAACACGTCTTTCACAAATCAAACAGCAAAATTTAGGGTAGTGATGGTCATTTACAGATTTGTGCTGTTGCTTTGAGAGTCGGAAAAGTGCTTTGGGTCAGGTAAATTACTTCCCTGACATTGATCGACTAGAGGTAGGTAGCCGCGCATTGGAGGCGGAAGCTGATAAGTCGGTGCGTAAATATAATATTGCCAGTGGACTGTTAAGCGGAGGGATTGCGAAGAGAGCTATGCCTTGAAGGCAACAGCTTGAATGCCCCTCGTTTTAGAGAGAGATGGCCATAAACACATTACAAATAAAGAATTTCGCAACCTCTATAGAGACTGTTGTACAGCGTGGCGTGGACAGAACTAAAATCATTCCGTTGTAGCACCCTTCCGGTGCCCATCTGCCATGCCACCCGAAGGAAGCACGACGGCTGGGATACTGCTAGGTTGCGCAAGCCCAGACAGGGGAAGTCGAGAGGCAGAAGTCGGGTTCGGACCACGGACCTTCCGGTCAGTAAATTCGGGCTCTAACCACCTGAACCATAACGTGGAGAGAATAAACATGTAATTAATAGAAGATTTACCTCTCGATTCTTCACAGTGAATATAGCAGCCAGATCATGTTCGAATGACTTTAGGTGGCTCCAATCCAACAGGTCGACGACCCTAAACAATGAGTGTATAAAGTAACCAAACTAACCCATCCCCAGAAACATCCAAAAGTGTAAACCACTTCAGGTTATCATCGTAGGATATTTTGACCCCAAGTCGTTCGAGTCTTTGTCGGAAGTTGTTGACATCAAGAGTACGGAGTTGACTTGTTTGGTTTTGTAGATTTCCATCATCCGCAGCTAACAATAAATTGAACAAACGTTTCATCTGGACTAAAAAGTCCGACATTTGAAGCTGAAGCGTTAAACATATAACCAAGTACCTACCAACAACTGAGGGCGACCCAATGCAGTGACTTTAATAGCCGCAAAACCCTCCTTTTCGGTTGACCCCGAAACGTAATCTAAACACTGCAGGAACACTTCCATATTCCGATCACACTGGTATTCCGACTCGTAAAAGTAAGTACGAGCAGCCACAACATTCTGAGATCTGTTGGCGAATTGGAGACTAGTTTGGTATTGCTTTGTTGCCGCAGCAGGGCGTACGACAGGTCCTCGAACGACTTCTTCCAGACCCCCTCTAAATTGGCGAGAGAAGCAAAAGCAAAAGTAAGCATTTACAGCTGGGAAACGTGTAAGCCGAGTGATTATCAATGGAAATTAAATGATTCAACCGAGTAGATGATAAACAGCAAACGAATTAGTTATACTAGATCAGCTCATCTAAGAAGTTTATTGGAAAACGGGAATGTAAGTGAACACCCCAGTAGCGAATCAGAGTCGCTGTCTTTGACCGCTTCCCCTTAGAGACGAAAGGTCTATGGGTATCAAGTTGCAACCCACATTTTCTCGCACTATCAAACAAAGCTCCTTATTCCATGGCTGTAGAACAAGTAGGCGCCAGCTTACCAAGATGATGATGCTGACCGTCCTGCAGAATGAACTTCATCCCATTTTATGCGTCCACCCATCAGGTTGAATGGATGCGGATTCGGTTTAACAGCTTGTTAGCGTAGACAAAGGTGTTAAAGTGGCTTGTGCCGCATGACTCAGTCACACATGATCAGCGCTACCCGCCTGGCATCCACAGAGTAATGATATCAGTGCTATCAATGACGTAGCAAAAATCGCAGTAGCTTTTAATATCTGCCTCTTCTGAGAATCCCATCATAGTCACATCAATCAAACACCTAGATAAGTAAATTCAGGCCCGACCTAAAGCTGCCACCTT